TTATATACAGTTTTCTAACCTTTTATTTTTAATGTTTCAATATGTGCCAGAAAGCTAAAATAGCCTCTAGGTTGCTTCATGTCAGCCACTCTGTACTTTTTGTGTTACAATTAATTAAAGGCAAGAGCATTTTTAATGTGTGTATTGCATTTACACAAACCACCCCCTCTCCACCCCCCAAAAACATTGGTTTGGTTTTTAAAATAATTTGGCAGCTTCAAATATCGTACAATAACTGGGTACATATTGCTTGCTTGCCAATCTCAGAGTGACCCTAAACTCTTGGTCTGCTCTTTTCTGTCATTTTTTAGGTACTGTGATTGTAGTAAAACAAGATAACTATGTTATTTAGAGCTATATCAAGACTCCAACCTGGATTGACCAACACCTTTTGAGAACCACTGCTCAAAGGCCAAAACACAATATATATAACCATGCAAGAACATGATATTTGGTAGAACTCAATTATTCTTCAATATACTGCATAGGGGAATTGAAGTCTTTTTCAGACACTCTATAACTGTATAGTGGGGGAGTTAGAATTGGAATTATGACTGCTGTCCCTACTTTTGACCACCAGATGATCATCTGAAGGCCTGGACACAACTCATTACACATTGCAGGCTCTCTCCATAGCACAGAACCCTGCAATGATGCCTGCAGACCTTGAATATGCATGCACAGTTGACTGAGCACAGGCTGTGTTCAGACTTCCAAATGAACATGCAGAGATCAGGAGAGGCAGTAGGCACAGTCCCAAACTCTCTCCTTCACTCCCACCCCAGTATGTCAACTAAAAAGTTGGTTCGTTGCAAGTCTTTCCAGTGTTATTTTAACTGATGAGTCTGTAGGCAAGGAACACTACCTTATTCTGTTGCTAGAATCGCTTGTGCATACGTTTGTGGGGCAATTCAGTGTAAGACAAACTAGAAATAGTGCAATCCCATATTGTCTATTTAGAAGTAAGCCCTATTGCATTCAGTGGGACTTGTTCCGTGGTAAATATATAAGATTGTGCCATGATTTGCCCATCTGTATTCCGAGGAACCTATGATTATGACATTATTTATCTGACTCTATTATGTAGAACTCCATGGAAATTACATTAATGCTATGGCAAGAAATTAAAGGTTGTTTTCAGCTGTCTTTCCCCACTTGCCTTCTGCTCGGCATTTTCTTTTGCCCCTGCATTTCTAGTATTTGTAACTGTAAACGTTAAAATAATCATTTGCATAATTTTGCTGCATGCCATCAAGGTGTCTCTGTCATGCCTGACGCCTCAACAGAGGCGGCACCTGACGAGGAAGAGTCAAATGCCCAAAGAGAGAATCAGTTATCAGAACAGAACAGAACACTTGAGGCCCTGTGGCCAAGTGACCCTTCCACAACCTGGCTTGGGAGTAGCTGAGCAGGTAGCCATCCCTCAGCCTGACCTTTTACCCCTCGGGCAAACAGCCAAGCCTCTGTCCAACCACGAGGGCCCCGAGGGAAAAAACACTCCAAGTTCTGCCCCTGAAGAGCGTGGGCAGGATGCCCCCCTTCCTCCTGACACTGAGTCTCCTGAACAAGATACAGAAGACGCAGGAGGCGGGATAGATTTGTCTCGCGCGACTCTTAGACGTACCTTACGCCATTTGGAACTAAAGGAGGCTTTGTCTCATCTCTGGGAGGAAAGGTGGGACAAAGAAAGCTAATCCCACGTGGGTTCCCTGAGGGACGTCACTAAGAAGATAGCAACTAACTTGTAAAGGTCATTGCAGTAGAGCTTATTCGTAGCATCGCAAATCTTGTGGAAAAGTAGCAATAAAAGACTTTAGTTTTATTGCCTGCATAAGTGTGGGTCATTTACAACAGTGAGCTGACACCTCACAACAGTCTCCAACTTACAGCAACCCAATGAATGAAAGCCTTCCAAAATGTCATGGCCTTAACAGCCTGCTCAGCTCTTCTAAACTCAAGGCTGTGGCTTCCTTTATGGAATTAATCCATCTCATAGTTGGTCTTCTCCTTCTTCTTCTTCTTCTGTCTTCAACTTTTCCTAGCTTTATTATCTTCTCAAGTGAGTCTTGCCTTCTGATGATGTGCCCAAAGTATGACAGCATCAGTTACATCGTTTTTTGCTTCCAGGGCAAGTTCTGGCTTGCCTGTTCATCTTTCTGTCAGTTCCAGATATTTGCAGAGCTCTCCTCCAGCAACATGTTCCCAACACATCCATTTTCTTCCTGTCGACTTTGTTCTCTGTCCAGCTTTCATACCCATACATGGTGATTGCGAATACAACAGTGTGGATGATCTTGTCCTTGGTCTCCAGTGAAACAATCTTACACTTGATTATTTTGTCTATTTCCTTTATTGCTATTCTTCCAAGTCTCAGTCTTCTTCAACCCTCTTGACTGCAGCCTCTGTTTGAAATGATGCTTGAGCTAAAGTATGCAAAATCTTTTACAATTTCAATGTCCTCATTGTCTATTAAAATTCTGTCATTTTTCCCTGATCGTGTTTTTTCTACATCCAGCTGCAGTCCTGCTTTTGCATTTCCTTCTTTCATTTTCATCAGGAGCCATTTCAGTTCATTGCTGTTTTCTGTCAGTAATACAGTATCATCTGCATATCTTAAATTATTGATGCATCTTCTGCCAATTTTCACTCCTCCTTCCTCTAATCCTAATTCAACTTTCCTTATGATATGTTCTGCCTGCCAATTAAATAGACAGGAAGATGAAATATAGCCTTGTCTGAGACCTTTGCCTGTAGGCAGACATTCTGTCCCTCCTATTCTGTCTTAACGGTAGCTTTTTGTACAGGTTACACAGCAGGACAGTCAAAACTGAGGCATGCCAGTTGCATTCAGAACCATCCATAGCTTCTTGTTATCCATACAGTCAAAAACTTCCGTGTAGTCTATAAAGGATAAACTAGTCTTCTGAAATTCTTTGCTGTATTTTGTAACCAATATGCACTTGAGTGCCTCTGTCTTTTCAGAATTCAGCTTGAACATCAGGCATTTTTCAGTTCATGTAGAGTCAAATTATTTGTTGCAACACCTTGAGCATCACTTTCCTTGCATAGGAAATCAGTGCAATGGTGCTATAGCTGTTGCACTTCTTGGAGACTGCAATGTATATCGAACATTTCCAGTCTGTGGGCCATTGTTTTGTTTGATCATGATGCCACTATGTATATTCCGGAAAAATACGGGAGCTTAGTTTACCTTCTTTAAATCCCATCTTAAATCAAGGACAGATTATGTTTCTGTAGTATCACTTGTATTTCTTTGGATATCTTATCCGTCACACTATCCTATACTTTGGGGCCAAGGATAAAAACACTCAACTAATTCTACATGTCTAAGCAATCTTTCAAATCCTTCCTTCCTTCCTTCCTTCCTTCCTTCCTTCCTTCCTTCCTTCC